CGCCGGCACTGGTCTTCGGAAGCGGAGGTCACCGACCGGTGGCTCCGCGTATGGAATACCCAAATATGTGTCCACTTCTGTGCCGTTGAATACTTGTGTGAATCCATTGATTACTCCGTTCTCTATCAATATTATGACATTCTTGGGAGTAATTTCGATAAACTCTAAAACTAAAAGCTGAATAAATATATTGAATAAAATTAGTTTTAATAAATTCATTGTTTACTTAAAAGTTTTAAAACTTCTGATAAAGATTATAATGAAGAGTAATTGAATTGGTTTATATATACCAATTATATTTACCATTAATCTGTTTCTTGTCAAACAAAAGTGATTATAATTTTAACAATTTTCCTCATCAATAGGTAGTAAATGTGTATATTTTTATTATTATTACGTGTATATTGTAGTAAAACATTATTATAAATATGTACATGTATTTAGTGTTTTATTTATATTTACAACAAAACGTACCCAATAATGTGTATACGATACATGTAGTTGATTTAATGAATGTACCCTATTATGTTATGCTATACCGTATTAACTAAAGTAATAAAAATTACTTAAATTGCAATCGATTTTCTAAATAAATAAATAAATATTTAAATAAATTTATTAATAATTTTGGTGAGTATTTTGGTTAATTTTAGATTTGTACACATTTTTAAATTTAATTATCAATATAAATTTCAATGTAAGATGTGGCCATAATTGTTTTGTTAAAATGATGTAAATTTAATGAAACTTTGCCAACTTTATGTATAAATTTTAATTGTATATTTATTTAAATTTAAATTTAAAATGAAATCTTTGGTAATTATTCTTAGATACAGAAAATATTTTATATTAAAATTATTGTAAAATTGATAACAAGAAAAGAATTTTAACAAAATAAAAAATAATAATACTATAAAAGGCTTTTAAAATTAAATGTTTAAATATATTTACACAGAAAATATCAAACCAACATTTAAAATCAAACAATAAATTCAATTCTGTCGTCAATTCCGGTGTAAATGAGTGGCGTTTGAGACAAATATTGTGACACAATCTCGTAGTCGAGTACTTCACTACTAATCCGTTTAATATCCTTACTCTTCAGCATCTGATAGCCGTCTCCGCCGTCGGCTATATATTGGGGAACAACCAGTTTGTAGAGCTCGTTGTCGTCGAGGGGTCTATACTCGGGAACCGTACAGTTGGCGCACCGGACCAGCACTTTGGCCACTCTCTCAAAGTCGGGATTTGTTAGATTGTAAACCACCCGAAGGCCAGACATTTGCAAGAACTTTCCGCTCGGGATCTTGAAGTGCGGGTCGTGTCCGGCGACACTAAACTCCAGCATTTCCCGTACCAATTGACCTATCATTTAGTATAATTACATTGAGATTATGGTAAAAATTACGTGTAATGACAATCGTATTAATACCCGACATCTCCAGAATAATCATGTTATTACTGAAGGGAAGTGTGGTTATCAAGTCCTCCAAAGTGATGTTGCCGTCAGCGTTGGTCGTGTCAATCGTGGACCGAATACCGCCCGAATTCATCACACAAATGGCCACATCTGTCCACCCGTTGCCCACAACCGGCCGTTGGCTCATATAATAGACAACCGTCGCCTCCGTAATGAGATTTCCTAAATTACATTCACGTAATTCGCATTTATATCCGCCTTCGAGTAATACTCTGGTCTTTCCGATCACTTCTCCGTACTTTTGTTTCACTCGATCCGTATATTCAGTGACTTCTTTGGCTAATTCTGGATCTGATTCGCAGACAAAAACAAATACAAAACACTGTTTTATTTACACTGTTATAGAATTGGGACACAGTTTCCAACACAAACCTTCTGGAAAACTATTGTCCAACAAAATAGGTTTGCCTTCAAAACGGGTGACATTTCCTTCGGCGTCGAACTCGACGTCAATTACACCCAAATATTTGCCGAAAGCAAAGGCCTGTAGGACTAGACTCTGATGCGAGCCGTGGTTTATAATCGTCGGGTATTTGTCGATCACTTCTTCGACCGACGGCTTCGGGCCGTCGTATAGGAGAGTGTGTGAGTGTCCGCCGACTATCACATCGATTTCGGGCACACTTTTGGCGATCTCCACGTCTCGTACGAACCCGGAGTGACCCAAACCGATGATTATATC